ATTTCCTGGTGATAACAGCATTAGTGTGAATGCAAAAACACAGACATGCATTCCCTTCAGATCAGTCCTGAAATGGCATAAGCAGATTAAAGATGGTGGAAATTTCACAGGAAGGTTTTCACAAAGTTTTGAGGGTTTTCCTTGTTTGTTCCATTAAAAATACAAACCTTGCCTACACTGTTTATCCAAAAGCTGGCTTCAGTTGCTGGAGACTGAGTGAAATTATCACAATGCAAGAACCCAGGAAGTGAAATTTGATCAAATCAGATGTGATTTCATCTTCAGTTATTCAGAGATTTTAGTGACATAAGGGATCGTGCCATCATGTAGTCTGACTTCTTACATAACAGAAACCATGGAATTTCACCCTGTAGTTCCTGTACTGTGTCCAATAAAAATATGGTTGAATTACAGCATAGTGTTTAGAAAGGCATCTGGTCTTGATTTTAGGAGTCCGGGTAAAATGTTTGCTCCTAATGCTCAGGTCATTCTAAAATGGGATGGGCACCTAATTCACTTAGACTTTTAATATTTTAGTTCTCTCTTTGAAAAATGCCTGCCATGATTGGTATGGAGCCATACAAACATACAACTAACTTATTACCTAATGTTGCTGACAATGATTTCTGTAGAGAGGGAAAACAACACAGACCTACTGAAGAGCTTACTGTTTCTTTAGTATTGTAAGAATCTTCACCTCTCATTTATCTTTTCCAAATGCAATTTTTATTAGAAGAGATTAATAATAATTTCTTGCAGCGTAATAAGAAAAATAAAAGTTTGAGTCAGAAAAACTGCGAAATACATCCTTAACATTTACATATTAAAAATTATGACAAAAACCAGATTAATAGAAGGCTCTAAACTTTGCCACTATAGTACTGGTACTTTGGAAAACCCAAGTACCAAAGTTTTCGGCTGTGTACCAGGCCAGGCAATTTTGAGAACAGTATCTACATCTCAACAAGAAATTCATATGCTGTGATTTCTCTTTCTTTATGTAGTTTCTAATGATGCTTCTGCAGCCTTTGGTTAAAATTCTCAAAGTACTTTCCAGAGCTGTAGTTGACCATAGATATGTGATCAAAAATTCATATCTATGAAAACAGTATCTGAAAACTAAGGCTGGGAAAGGACAGAGTAATATGTGAAATGAACTAATACCCTTTCTTATCTGCATCATGCAGTTGGAGGATTTCATGTTGAGAAGCATGAGTGCTAAACAGTAATCCTTAAATTCTACTCAGGTAGGGGAAAACCTATCCTTCATCTCACCATGCAGTTGGGCAGCCATCAAGGTACTGTCATTACCAAGTGCCTCTTATCTGCAGGTACAAAGAAGGGGACAGAAGATGCCATCAACTTTCCCATTGGTGAAGTCTTTTTTCCATTCCTGCTGCAGCTGATGTTGAGTAGAAGTCTCTGCTGGTGAGCTAACAAAAGGGCAGAGGGAGGAATGGCATCTGCTTGCAGGGATGTCAGCTGGGGTGCGCTGCCACACAGCGCCTGCACCTCAGCCTCACCTTCCAGATATTATCTCAGGGTTCCTCTGAAGACTTGGAACTAAAAGCAGTCAAATGTAACCTTTCTAGTTAGGTCTCATAGAAGGTCTCATAGAAGGATAGCAGCAAGCACCTGTGTAGAGCGAGTGAGCTAGCAACCCCCAAAACACTGTCAGATTGTTTGCAGAGTCAGAGCCCTCAACCAGTTTGTGCCTTAATTCTCTTAAATTGCCCATATCTAGGACATTCAATCATGAGAATAAGCACATCGAAGAGGGAGAAATCCTTACAGCAAGCAGAAATCAGAGACTTTAACTTCTTATTCAGTGAGAAAGTGGCATGGAAAGAAATTTCAAAATTATTACAGAGGAGAGATGTAGAGGAGGCATAAATGAGATTGAAATAGAAATTTTCAATATGTAAAATAAGTTGCTAAAATATTCCTACCCACAAACAAATATATTGTATCTATCCTAACTCTGCTTCAAAGTGAGTAAAGAACTTCTGTTTTACATTGATGTTTTTGAAGATTTAGCCAGTTATTTTCATGGAGAATTGCTATGTCACCATTTAATCAGAACAAATAAGAGATCACAGAGCAGGCAAAGTTTGTTCTTTATTTCCTTAAGACCGGTAAGAATGGAACATGATAAATAGGAAAATTAGACTGCTTAAAATGCTATTTCAATAAAGGACATCACATATTGTTTATGGATTGCAGTGAGGTTTTGCAATTATTTTTTTAATTGTTCCTGCAATACTTGTGGGCATGTGACATAATTTATGCTGTTATGTTGTCAGTCTTCTGGTCATGGGAAGGGCTATTTGTTTAGACTGTGTAGCTCTTCACTTTAATTTGCTCTGGCTCCAGCGTGACATGCTAAAACTACTATCAATAGAAAATCCAAATTTCCCAGAAAGACTTAAAAGAGTACCCTCGGTGAACTGAAATTATCTCCTCTTAAAGCTAATTACCTTGGTATACTTAAGAAAGTAGCACTATAGGAAATCTGTTTCTTTAGACTTTCTTCTATTTCTTTAAATGCCTCAGGTCAGCATGAATAATTATTGTTTGCTTTTATTGCACTTTCTTTCATTATTCATCTACATGCCTCTGAAGGACATAAAACTAAAATAATCCAACAAATTAAGAGTAATTTTTTGAGACACAGATTCATTATTAAAAAACAAACAGAAAATATTTTCACCTTTCAGTTTATTTTATTAGAAAGAAAGTACTGTGAGGTTTCTATTTAATAGGAAGCTTTAAAGCATTAATGAGTCTCACAGGGCAGTTATTGCAAGTAAATATGGAATGTGTCCAAAATTAAATACATTCTACAATTATCTGTTACCTAAGGGCTGGATGTAGGAGAAATATGCATCAAAGGTTGCTTGCTGATGAAAGCAACACATGATTCTGCATTCTATGTCTTCTTTTAAGACAGTCCACCTACCATCAGCAGTGTGGCAATTTTCCCAGTCCACAAGAGTGGGCTTGGAGCAGTTTCCTTATTTTGACTGACCCAAACACAACTTTGGCAATGGTTTTAAAGCCCCACATCCCAAGGATTTTATGACCTCACAGGAGCTGTCTTTTATAAGGGCTAACCTGGGAGACAAATCAGGAAGCTCTCATACTGCAAAGACTTCAGTGTGGGCTGGAGCAAATGGGCTGGCTTACATGCTACCAAGGTGGTGTGGATTTGTGAGGAGAGATTTCAACACAGCTCACTATCACTAATATCCCACTTCCATTTATTTTTATATAAATTAGGCACTGCTTTCCCAGACTTATTATTAAGAGAGTTCTTTTCCTATTAGTGCTGTATGATTCAGCTCATCCTTTGTGGAACTCAGGCATGAACCTATTCAGACTGGACCTGTGTTCATCCCTCTCTAGATAGGTATTATTGAGACACTGCCAAATGCACTTTGTCACAAATACCTTGTACTGATTTCATTTTAGCAGTTAAATGTAACAAACAGTTGAGACATGAAAATAAATAAGGAGTTATACAAAAAGTTAATTTATTTGAAATGAATGAACAATAGGCCAGTATTCCTATACCTTTACTAACCCTGGATTATCCATGTGGAAAATAACCATTATTCTCCTTCACTGACTATTTAGTACAAGTTAAGGAAAAACAATGAAACAATTCTAAAGCAATTTTTTAGATACTGTCTTCTTTTTTGCTGTCATGGAAACAAAGAAAAACACTGCCACAGCAAATAAAAACTCAAAGCACCTTCTGCAAGCAACCATAATTACTCACATATCTGCTTGTCTGTTCATCACCCCAGTATCATTTGTCAAGCTCTTTGGACAAAGATTAATTTTTGGCCCAAAAAGCAGCAAAATGAAATCTCTAAATATCATTATAATTAAAGTAATCCTCCCAGTAATATTACTCCTTATCCTACACTTTGCTTATGTAGTGTTTCCTTTTTCTACACCAAGCTATTGATCATATTGTAAGGAGCTTGTCATGTTGAACCTCTCTCCCCTAGATTAGCTAGTTTAGAAATACTTTCCTTTTAAAGGTCAGTATTTATGTTTGGAAGAAAGAGGAAAAAATTTGATGTAAAAAGCCTGCTGCTGTAGAGAATGGCATCTAGAGGAAAAGGGATTTTTAAATCTATCTTATTTTCAGAAATGAGCTAAAGATCAGCAGTCAAAGAGCCGCGAATCTCTTGTTATTTTAGCCCTAACTACACAGGATGTTTTCTATGGCCAAAAAATCTCTTAGGGAAAAAAACTCTTCATGAACTCCTGGCTACAGAGTCATCTTGCAAAATGGAATAACACTGCTAATTGCATAGGAAAATAATTCCCCTTATCAGTATCCCCTTTTGGTTCTATTCTTGTCTTTTTGGTTTAGGGATGAGAATAACACTTCCTAATAAGCTGCATTTAGTGTGCTTCTCAGTAACATGATAATGGAGAAATGGATTGATTTGCTGTGCCTTCCATAATGAAATCTACCTAGCTTTTATCTTTATATTACAATGATAATTATAATAATTTGCTTTAAACCATTGTGACAATCCCTCTATTTTATCCAATAGCATATAATGATGGGCTTACCAGTTTATAAAATATTTTCTTTTCAGATGGATAATAGTCATCCTTCTGAACAGAAACAGAAAAGCAATTTACATGGATAAGAATCAAAACTGCTTGAACCATAAGTTTAGAAAACAAGAAAATGTAGACTGTTTCTTCAAAGGCATAGTCCAGATGTGAGATGTAAAAGCTAAAATGCTCTCTGCTGCAGATGAGTCTAAATTGTTGTAACAAGTGCACATTAATGTTTCCAGGAACCAGTCTGGGGGTTTTGGTTTGGGTTGCATTAGGGTTTTTTTATATTTTGTATTAATTAGCTAAGTTCTGTAGCAAAATTTTTATAAATCCTGCAGTAAAAGCAGATTTCTTACCATTAAAAATCAACTGAAGAAAAATAGACTAGAGTAGACTAGGAGGTAAAGTTATTTATTTGAATGCAGTTTGGGTTTAGCAGTTTAATTTTTTATCAATTTTTTTTTTAATTTGTGGGTACACACATAAGCATTCTACATGTACATATTTGAGCAACATAGCATGTGTTCTAGTGATCAACATAAAGCTTAACATGTAATATTGTAAAAATGAACTAGGATATTAACTTACTAAAAGTTATTGGAAATTAGGATCCAGTGGAGTTCAATATACTTATGTTGAGGTTAAAGACATTAGGAATCAAATATATACAGATGTACAAATTTTCGACAGGACTCTGAAGGGTTATTCCTTTTTCTTTCTTTTTAAACAAAATCTGAAGCACCCCACATACATTTTTGGGTCTTTTGAAAATGCTTTCCCAAGTATTTAGACACCATGGTGCGAAGGGTGTTTTCAACCAAAAAACAGCAAAGAGCAAATGGAACTTCAAATCTGAAGTAAAGTAGCAGCAAAAGATAGCTGGTGACATCTGAAAGTGACAAGACTGCTGATTGTCATCAAGCAAGTTGCCTCAGTTTTAAAGAGAACAGAAAACCAGTTAATTCCTTTATTTTGGGGGGTTTGTGACTTATTAATTTTTTTTTTTTGCATTTTTTTTTACATCCTGATTTTCAGTTTGGACATGCCTGAGCTAAAGACCTTAGTAACTTTGGGAAAGACTTTAACACACAATTCTATCAGGGTAAATTCACAAAAATGTTGGTGTGTTGCTTTGAGATAATGAGTTCATGCCTGACTTTGTGATTCTAAAGGTCCTTAGATGGGAGTGAAAACATAACAGAGACATTCGGGGGTAATCTTTAGTTAGTCTTTGACTGACCTCTTGGAGAATGACTGGATTTCTATTGTGTGGACATTTGTGGTTGGAGCTGAAGGAGGGGCAGGCTTCCAGAAATGGGAAAGTCTGAGAACAGCTGGAATATGGTTCCTCAGATGCTGTGACAGTGTCCGGAAATATCTGTGGTATGACAGAAACGGTGGAGGAGTCATGAGATTATATTATGCATTATTATTACAGCTCTTTTTTTCTGCACCTCACTTCAATTTCTTGATGAAACAGAACCTGGGGATCCATTGTTTTACAGTATTTCAAAAGGTAAAATACAGGATTAAACCTCAAGTTTACCATAAGGAAATCTCTGAAAAAAGATCTTGCAGTCAACACAGGAAACATTTTCAAATATAAACTTTGCAAGTCCTATTTAAAATAACTTTAATTAGAACATTCTGGAGACTACATTTACTAGTATCCATTCTTCAAAATGTTGTACTGATGTTCAAGTATTTAAATTTAAATGCATAGTTGAGCACAATACCTTCCCACATGCTTAATTGACACCATCCTGTCCAGCCAATCCAGGTTTCTCATTCTCCAGTCTCATGGGCAATCACAGCATGCGTCATCTGGCTTCCTCCAAGCTTGGAAAAAACACAGCAGCTTCTCAGTCCTTCACAAATTCTTCTGATCCCATTCAACAAGAAGTGCTGGGACCACCAGAGCCAGCAGTATTTCAGTCCATGTGCTGGTAGCTGTGCCAGTGACCAGTGGGACCAAACCTCTGTAGCCCCAGCAGTACCAATGCTACAAGATATTGCTTTCTGCCTTGTTCAGCACTGGCTTCTGCTACAATCACAGGTGAGAAAGGAACTGATAGCTCCATCCACCTATATTTGTAAGCATGCTGTCCTTACTATCATTAACACACGTGCCCAAAATACTGAGGTATTTCCTGCTGGGCAAATGTCCTTTGCTGAGGTCTCTGGTAACCTTTCCCCCTGTGTTCCGCAGTCGCTCTATCCAACTTCACTGTGCTTTTCAGCCACCTTAGGACACACTGTCCTGCCCTCCTGCAGTATAGAAACTCAGGATTTCTAGTCTACATCTGAAATTCTCACTCTTTACTTTTTCTTTCTCTGGGTTGAACAAATTCAAGATCAAGCCAGTGAATTACATGATCAATCTCATTTTATTAGCCTTACCTTCTCCTCAATATTTACTGCTTTTCATTATCTCACTTAAGCAGGTGATTTGACAATTATTAGATTTTCTCAGAGACTGTGTTGAGAATCATTGAAATCTTCATTATTCATGCAAGAAGAGACTAATGTTTCAGTCTATATTCGGTCTATTCAGTCAGATTTGGAGGTTTCTGCTAAAATGGAGAAACTTCACTTTTGGCTGGCTCCTTTGTCTAGGCTTCTGTCAAATTTATATTTGATCTTTGACATTGGGATTTTATTCTGAAGTTATTAAGTTATTTCTAATACCTATAAAAATCTAATTATTTACAGAACTTTTGTTCTATTAGTAAAAAAAAAAAAAAAGAATTGATTACCCATTCAAAGAAAAAAAGTATAAAAGGTGTGCTGCTGAAGTGTATAAATGCCACAGCTTGAAGGAAATTTACTTTGGTAGGTGTTATACAAACCTCCCAACAAGTCAGTTGTGTTGCTATAAGACACTGCCTAAATTCTCATTAAAAGATTTGGCCTCGGTCTCTCTAAGGTCAGGTCCCAAAAGGCTATTTGATTCCAGATGCAGATGTAGTCTAACTTGCATCTACTCACTACTTATACCCCTTTCCAGGAAAAGAAATTTGATTTCAGAATTTTCAACACCTAAAAAGAATGCATCCATGAATACAGCAAAGAGGGGGATGAGTGTGATGAGCACTATTAGAAGCAGTGCCTTTGTTAAGGAGACAGCTTTACACCTTGACAGCCCTTATGTCTGCTGACACCATTGCCCAAATGTGAGTCACATGTTAGCCTACACCTGACCAACACAAGCTTTTGGAAAAGTCTATAGCACAGAAGCGAGCTGAGAGGTAGCATGGTGCTGAGACACAAGGAAATGGTTGGAAATGGTTTGGAAGAGGCAGCTGTATTGTGTAGGCTTTGAACATGAACAGATTAATGCCCAAGTAAAAGAGATTAAAGACAACATATAAACCACCAGCTTGGACCAGGGGAGTGATTTTCATCATATTTTTCCAGCAGAACCTAGTGTCCTTCTACTGTAGATTCTGCAAATTTACACTTCTGGGTCATTTTTTCCTAGTCACTAGGTCATACAACTATGCTTGTGGAACTATTCCTGGTTAATCCTATGCTATGGTACAGCCACTCCTTGCTGTCTGGAAATGAAAGAACATTTCCATGAGCTGCAGATGCCAAAACAAGAGGCAGGAAAGGGTTACTTTAAAAATGGATGAGTGCACTCTGGGCCTAGATTGGGCCTACTAGAAGAGGGCAGAGGATTTTCCTGGCTCCCATAGACAACTTTTATCTCAGCCCACTTATCCTCTGAAGATACCTTGACAAAAGTTCAGGCCTGCCCTTCTGAAAGCAGTACTGGTCTGGTCTTCTAAGACTGAACTCTATAATGCACAGCTCTCACAAAAGCATAAAGTGTCGGGCAGGTCGAGAAGGAGAAGGACTATGAGTCAGACTGGGTATCCAGAGGAATCCCCTGCATTTTTCATTGGAAAAAATTAATAAATCCTGCCTTAGAGGGTGTCTGCAGCTCTGAAGCAAGAAGTGAAGCACTGCTGCTCTGTCTGGTGAACATAAGAGTCCTTCTGTTCCACACTCAGATGCTGGTGGTCAGCTGGGCCATGTCCTGTTCTCAGAATTTGGCCAAGTATAAATATTTACTGGAATTTTTGTTATAGTTTTAAGACAAAGGTCAGCATAAGAGAACAGACTATGTATCAGTCTCCTTTTTCCTTCAGAATTAAAGATCCTTTGTTAGTTTGCAAGAACCTGACCGTGTAAGATTTACTTTCCCTATCTTCAAAGCATGGCCATTTGGCACATAGGAATGGCTCTGTGAGTTCTCCAGCTGACTAATCTCAAAGAAGCTCTGCTAACTTGCTCAAGGCCTGTGTCTGACCAAACCACAACAAACTGCACCCCACATACCCCATGAAAGAGATGGGAGATCTCTGAAATAAAGGAGAGGGAACGATATTTTGTCATCTGTAAGCATCAACTGAAGCCTCTTCATTGGTACTGGAGTCTTCAGTCAGCATTATATCAGCAGCTGGAACTAACTCCACTCAGAATGCTGATCTCAAATTGCAACTGCATCGTAGCAAACACTAGAAATCAGGAAGAGGCTGTTGGGGAAATGACCTCCCCTTACCTGCCAGCTGTATAAGAGCACATGTTGTACCTGCACCATCTGTGGATACAGCTTCACTGTAATTTAAAGTGTAAAAGCCATCATATTTTCTGTCAGGATTCAGGATTCCCTAGTGTACACTAATATGTAAAACACTTTGTTGGTATAAGGTCCAATTGCACATGCACATATGTCAGCCTTTACTGAGGCTCACTAAGTCATTGTCAGGCAGATGTTGTTTTGCCAGGTGTGCTTTTGTAGAATTTACATCTGGATAACTTTCCCAGAGAGGATTTTTAAATTGGAGATGGGCAAACTCAAAAAGTTTAGAGGTTCAATTAAATTAACATCTAAAAACCTTGATGATTATCTGAACCAAATCAAGATCCCCAAAATAAGAGTATAGGTCTTATAGAATAGACAAAAAATTGTATTATTTCCCTGCCATGATGACTTTTTAAATTTGCAGATTATTTTAAGTCAGATTTTTGCAAACTACGAAGTATTGTTTAAGTCTTGCATAAGGCTTCAGGTCAGTTTTATTTTAGCCAAATTGCTTTCCTAGTCCCTAGTTTAAAACCTTGTGAACCATATTACATTCCATTTAACCTAGGTGGAAAATTTCCCACTCTTTTGAATAAAAAAAGGAAACTTTTAGCTATGTATCTTACAAAGTATATCTAATGCAAAAAGCAGAAACTCTGTATAAAAGTAAGGCTTTAACTTGCCTTTTGTGTTTTGATGGGAGAAATAGGATATTGTTACCAATATCAGTGGTTCAAAAGTCAATTTTTCATTTCATTGTGAGAGAGCATTATATTTTTCATTTGGGGGAATTTAATAAAATTCCTCACTTTTCTGCTGTAGAAAACTAACTAACCTAAAATGTGAAGAAAAAAAGTATTTGATAGACTTGGGCAGTTTGAAAGGTTGGATGCTAATAAACACAATTGTTCCCCTTCACATGTTAAGAATTGTAAAGATCTTGGCAGGCAATAATAAGAGTTTGACTTGATGACTGGATTTGAGGGAATAATTAGTAATGGACAATTTATTAAAGAGGCATGGCTTATTTCTTCATCTGAAAATATTCCTCCAGAGGGGCAAAAATTGGTGATGGAATTTTCTATCAAGGTTAATAGAAAATTCTTCTCAAGTCAATGAAATTACTCAAAATAATTCTCTCAATTTATTGATTATTTATAATTCTGTGGTGATAATGTCTGATAATATTGCTTCATCATTAGTCATTCAGTAACTTCTTTTAAAAGTCCAGCATTTTTCCTGTGAAATATTTTTCTTGTATAAATAAAGAAACATCTGTCTGATGGAAGATATATTTGTTAAAAATATGTGAGAATTTCACATAAAAACATTCTAATTCATAGAATTACTTATTGTGATATGCAACCAAATATTTCCAGAATATTTTTGTAGAATAGAGCAATTAAACTGCAACCATAGAATCATTGGATTGATAGGGATATGTAAAAATACAATGATTTCTACTGATATAAGGTCATTAGAAGAAAACCATCTGTAAACAACATAAACGTGCAAATAGGAATTGACTACATTAATAACTTTACAGTAGGACATGAACACATATTGTTGGAAAACCTTTGTTTTGCTTCTCAAAGTTCTCAATGCTACCTCCTTTCAGACTGTGTATTGATCGATGAACAAGAACTCAGTAGACTCTTCTCATCAGACAGATTTACTATATTGTATATTTTATTATTCAGTACATAAATGCTGGGAAAAGTGTGAAATATGATGGAATCACAGAATTATACAGGTTGAAAAAGACCTCTGAGATCATTGTGTCCAGCCTCTGACTGATCACCACCCTGTTAACTAGACCCTGGCACTCAGTGTAATTTTCAGTCATTTCTTGAACTTTTCCTGGGATGGTGCCTCTACCGCCTCCCTGAAAAGCTTGTTCCAATGTTTAACAACCCTTTCCATGAAGAAATTCTACTTGGTGTCCAACCTGAACTTCCTCTGGTGCAGCTTGAGGCTATATCCTCTCATCCTGCCACTAATTGCATGGGGGAAAAAGAAAAGACTGAAGGGCTGTTAGAATAGACATCAAAATTCCAAGAACCACCTTGCTCTCAGATGAGGATATATGTTAAAAGCAAGTAAAGTGCCATGTAGGCTTGAGGTACATCAGAGATGAGTCCTATTGGTCAGTCCTCATCTAGCAAGGTGTTTTTAGGGGTTCTGTTTGCAAGTTAACTGGCTTACATTTTTGACGTATTCTTTATACTAAAAGCAGACTTCTGTGGAGCAGCCTAGGTAGATCTCCTCAAGCTTTTATAAGGTAATTACTAGAAATACCTTTTCCTTTCCTGAATGTTACACTTCTGGTCACTCTGCCAGGACTCCAATTCCTTTCTTGCAGAAGTTCTGTGAAATGAAGAGCATAAGAAGGTGAAGAGGAGGTTTCAGCAATTAGTACACAGGAACATCCAAGAACAGCTCTGCAGCCAATAAATACCCTGAATAAATAAAAAAATATTCTATAAGATTTTGTTAATATAGTTAACTAAATTACATTAAGAGAGGCTTTAAGATAGCTTAATTACAATAAATATAAGATAAAAAATTTGTAAACATGTATTTAACTTTTTGGTTGACCAGGTGTGTATTTCAAATTTATGATAAATTCCAGACCATGAACGTATCAAAGTGGTTTGTTGGTTATTTCAGTCAATCTTTGTGCTACTGTGGTAATTCCTGATTAGTCAGGATGAGAGGTTTGGGATTATGTTCAATAGGGAAAAATAATTAAATTTTAAAAGAAGTACATATATACATATAAACCCATAGTTGTTATGATAGGTGCAGGACTGACAGTTGTAGAAAAAAACATGCTGGTATTCTACTGGAAAAAATGCACCAATTGTATTTGCTTCCTTTACAAAATAAAATATTGTTTGTTCTTTTCACAGCTGGCCTTATTTTTTACATGAAAAGTGAATTTTAAGATAAGGCTATATTTTCAAACATAAAAGGATTTTCTTTATCTCACTTCCTGACACTCCGCTTTAGCTGCTTTTTCTTTAAAATAATCATTTGACCTTTTAAATTACTAGAACTGGAGATAAAACATCACAGAGCCTTTGGAGATGACAGACAACTGATCAAATAATTTTCAGTTGCTCTATCTGTATCTTAAAGCAGTGGGTTGCAAAATCCAGCCACATTTGAACAGCATCAATCTGGCTTTCTGTCATTTATGTACAACATTTTTTTATGGTCACCGAAATTCATGGTAAAACTGACCTGTAAAAGCTTATCTTTTTCCAGACTGTTATGACGAAAAACCAAACAAAACATGGGAACTTATCCCATTATGTTGGAAATTAGCTCAACTACAAATCAGTGTGCACCTGCTAAAATAATTGTCTCTTTCTGGTGTTTTCCATATGATATTCCTTCACTGTGCAATGCCGTGTAAGTAAATCAGCTATCTTTTAGGGAGACCTGATGGAAATTAAACTTGATTAATAGCTGCTGTGATTCCAGGGTATTAGTCTTTTCTTATTTCAACCTTGCTATTAATATGAATTTTCAACCCAAACATAATTTTGTGAAACGTTATGGAATCTGAAGACAGACAAAAGATGTTTAAGAAGACAAAATGAGATTATAGGTCATAGATATCTTTTTAAAAAGTTGAATAAAAATGAATTGAGGTCCAGGAAGATCAGAGAGAAGAGCTCCATCTCCTCTTCTGCCAGACCTGGGGTTGAGTCTGTGTCATGCAGTGATAAATTTGATTAGATATTCTGGCAGTGTGGCCAAGATGATTCAGGTCTTCTTCTTGTGACAGATTCCTATGATTTATGTTACAGGCAAAGTTTTGGTGCAGATAAACTTAATCAAAAAATGCATCCCTACAGTTTAATCATGCCAGATATGTGCAATGTGTGCTAAAAAGCACTGCAAAAAGAGCATGGACCACTAGAGGTCTGAGCATGAAGTCAGATGTGTGTTATTATCCATCCACACAACCTCCAAAGAAGTTTAAAAGAAACACCTTGAGACTTGTGTGGATTTTTATTAATCCTGCACTGTGAATTGATGGGGTGCTGGGGAAAAACAAACATGGGCAGAGAAAACATGAGGCCTGCCCTGCACAAGAGCTCTTTATTGACAGTTTATGACATAGGCTTGGAGTGGCCCAATATTGTTCCTACGATCTTTGCCTCCCAAAACTTACAGGCATTTTGAGACTTTGTTCACCCCGTGAGGGCCTGCTGGCCTTGCCACTGCAAATTTCTTCTCAGTGCTGTTCTGAGCATTAATTGTGATCACTGGAGACAATTACAAGTGCTTCTTGCCATCCCTTGACCTAAATCTCTGCCAGATTCATTTTTCTAATCTACACACAGACCTAGTTCAGAATTGTGACAAATTACACAGGACAGATTAGTAACAGGGTCTACAGTTAACAAAACTTTGAGCTGGCACCCAAATTCCAAGTCCATGTCGACCCAAATTCAAAAAATTCAAAATATTTTGCAAGAGAGGAAAGGACACAAGGCCTATTTTTTTTTTTTTTTGGTCTTTCCCAGGCATAAGGAAAAGCATTGCAAGAAATAAAGCTGTATTGAGCTCATTTGGTTTTTTTGTTCTATGTTAGCTTGCTATTAAAAAACCAAATTAAGAATGGCTAATTGGTTAAATGCCTGTACATACATATCTTTTAGTAAAGAAAAAATTAGTACATGGGTTTGTTACCTATATGAGTATTAAATGTGATAGGTTAGGAAAGGTATCTCCCTTGATTCCAGTATACCTTTCTATATTATGCTCTGTTAATTACTTTTTGTAGTAGCTTTCTTCTCAATTTTCTCCACATCTTAAAAAAAAACTGTTAAGAAAGTGGACACAGAAAAAAAGATTTTGGCTAAATATTCTAAAGCCAAGAGCAGGAAAAATGTAAAAGATCAAGATGAAAATTAAACTTGCTTCAAAAGAAATCCAACATTGCTACCAGACTTCATGTTATCTAACAGGACTCATTAAAACAAAATGGAACAGAGCAGTAAAATAGATAATAATACACACTGAGTTCTAGGGCCAATTTTTCTGAGTGATTGAGTTCTTTGAGAGCTTGCAGAGATTAAAAGCCTGCAATCTATTTTCCTTACCACTGTTGTGTCTTGCCAAATCTGTCTTGAGAACTAGAACAGGAAATACCCTCCCCGCAGCTGTATCTGTAGATTTCTCAACTTGGGCTTTTACTCACAAACTGTATTCTGCATTTCTGGGGCATGGTCACATTTTTGCTTCTATTCAAAAAGTTCTTAAATACATCACTTTGGCAATGGATGTTAAATATCTGTCATTCAAAAGAGCCAATAAAATGGAAAATTTCAACTAGGCTGTTAAAATATGACAGCCAAGAAAGGACAGCCAGTAGAAAACAAGATCTTTTGAAGTATCAATTCAAGCATAATAATAAATCTGTACAAACTGTAGTGCTCTTGTTCCCCTTTTTTTTCTTGCCTTCAGCTTCCACATTGCAATATTTGCAATAAAATATTATTTTTTTTTTAATTGGAAAGTAGATATACCGTTGTTAGAACAAGAAAAAATCACCTGTCAGACAATTCTGTCGACTGAGCAATTGCAAGAAAATAGTACTACATACACTATTTATAATCCATATAGGACACTTGGCTCCCAAGAGTGGGACAGCTTAAAATCCTCTGAAAATGAAGATAAATTCAGAATCTGCTAATTTTTTTTTTTTTTTAATTTAGGGATTAGCTAAGAAATTATTTCTGTATGTATAGTAACACCAAATAGTTGCTTCATTAGTATGTCAAACTTCTGCACCAACCACAAACATTTTTGGCATTTGTTACATTCTTGTTTGTTACATACAGATGGATAGATCAGTTCTCAGTGATCTATCCATCTGCACTAAGGACATCTTCTCTGATTGCTTTGATGATCCCTAGTTGCAATATTCAGAGAAATAACAAACAATTAATGTCTTTTTAACTTCTCCCTGCTAGTCTCATTTATTGGTCTCTTTCATGTTCTGATTCCCTGATTTCCCCATTCTATTTCTCTCCCAAAATGCTTTCTTTTTTTTTTTCAAAGCAGGTCTTTCTTTGCTCTGATACAATTCTGTCTCCGCTTCAGGACAATAATCTCTGAATATTGTCCAGATCTACTTTATTTTGTTTTGAGATTCAAGGTGTCAGCCGGATTTAAACTGTTGTACAATGAAGTAGAGTTTGAGATGATCTGTGCAGAATCTGAAATATGGAGAAACCATAATACAATGCCAACATATTCCAAAGAACTACAAGTAGTAATGTCGAAAACCAAATGTTAGCTCAGATTTTCACTTTGGGCTTTTTGCTGAGTTTTTTTAAACCTTTACTTGCATGGTTCCTTCCTTTCAAATTTAAAGAACTTCGAAATTCCAGTAAGTGACTATGAACCATTCTGATTTTGAGTTTGAGAAACTACATATTTTAATGGAGTCTGTGCATATCAGTAAAAGACTGCAAAAAAAAACCTTCCACTGATCATATAAGAAAATTATACAACATTCAAGAAACTTCCACAAAACTTCCATAGCAGTTAAATATTTTTTCTCTCTCTCCCTGATCATGCCTTCTGAGTGGCATGGTAAAGCAAAATCCAACACCAGCCCAAGCTGCTCTTTTTATAAGATGACAGTCAGGGAGTGGCTCAGCTGATAAGTGCCAAAATGTTCCAAAAACCCATAGACATGGATGCTTTGATTTTCATGCAATTTAAAACACAAGAAAAACCTTGCTTGGTGAACAGCCATGCTCTCCAGACTGCTTAATTCTACTATTGCTACTTTCTACTGCCTGCGTACCTCAAAGGCAGCAAATTAATCTTATGTGTGAGCAGATAATGGCTGAGAGTCTATCAAAAAAATAAAAGGAGTTTTCCAGAGCAGCCTGTGGGAAGAAACAAAAGCTTCAATACAGGAAGACAGAAACAGCAGGCAACAGAGCAACAGCGGATGTGGGGTAAAGAGGAAGCAATGAAAAACTGGATTTGGAAACATGGAAAAAATGCAAGAACCCAGAGAACAGAGCAGGAAGACTCAATGGAAAACAGGAAAAATTTTATAAGTAAAGGGATCCAGAGTCAAGAGGCCAGAAGAGAAAGCAACTTGGCCACCAGAAAAAAAAATGGGGGAGATGAACATCCTACTTCTGTAAAAGATGGAAACTGTGCTGTCATTAATCCACAGGATTCTTGGCCTACATGCAGGAGTTACTGAAAGGAAGAGCTGGTGAAGGGCACACACCAAGCACAGAGATGTGAACACTAGTGAATGGCAAGGAACCTGGGCAAAGTTGGCTTCTCAGGCTGCAGAATAAATGCACAGCTCCTGTGTCATCCCTGTCTCCTGAAGTCCTGAAAAGTTCTCATAATCCCTACAGAGATGAATATGTAAAATTTTACGTATTTTTTATTCTGCCAGTCTGTGTATGAAGCCTAATTTTGCAGCAGCAACCAACTTTTCAGTACTTACTGTGAAGTGAGAGACAAAAGAGCAAGAAGATGCTGACAGGAGCAGCACCACATTCCATGTCCTGCATGCAGCAGAGTTGATAACTTCACACGCTAATGAACAATTGTATGATTGAGAAAATAAATCAGATTGCCTCACCACAGAAGTTGCACTGGAGATGGTACCTTGTCCTCATCGTTGTTTGTCTTTGACCAAGCTGATCTTTATCCAATCACCTGCATGTAGAGATACCAGTTATCTCCTGAAGTTTCTGAGATGTAAAGTGCCAGACACTTGCCTTCTGCTTCGCACTAAAAAGTTACCAATTTTTTCTGTCTGGAAGTTATTGAAAAGTATAGAAACCAAAAATCCCTACCACCATGAAAACACTACCTTCACATTACATAGTTGATTTTTGCTTTTCAAATCTTCAAGAAGTTGCATCTTGAGTTCAAGCAACCTACTGAACTTCAAGGCAAAAAATATCCTTCATGATTCAGAAGTATTGTGGAAATGCAACTGAAAAATTTAGACACCACAGTTCCAAGTAGCTGGACATCTTGGACAACTAGACAGCACTTATGCACTGCCAAATGTCTTTATTGAGTCACAAGATATAATTTTAGGAATGATTATCACACAAGCTGTTAAGCAAAGATGGTTATGGACAACTCTTTCAAGCACTGCTTTTAGTGACCTAAAAATGAATGTTTATAGCCTATCATCAGATGCATACATTATGTTGGCTTATAAAAGTCCTGGAAGAGTCTACTAGAGCCAAGCAGAATTTAATCACTAGGAAAGTATTTCCAGTCATTAAAAAGAGCATATGTGTCTTGGAAAACTTGATATGTAGAATTCTAGTGGAGGGAGGGGGAGAAACAACAATATTTTACTCATTAAATAACTTCTCTGAAGTAGTATTCTAAACTGTGCATGGATACACAGCAGTTCACGGAAAACACATTTGCATCAGATTCCAGGAATTGGATTCTTTTAGTATTCTTTGATGGAAAATGAAGGCTTGGCTGCTTACCAGATTATTTGCTCCATGATAAATGTAAAAGTTTTACAAGCTCTGAAGGATTGTGGACAATCATTCCTGAGAAATTTGATCATCACTGAAGCTGTTGCAAAAGTTGAAGATATGCTACCAGCTCAGTAATCTTATAATTGAGATATGGACATAGAAGTTGCATGAGAAGACTAATGTAAAGGATATTTATTAATAGTGAATTAGAAATCCAATTACATACCTCCACAGCAAACAAGGACTCCTGGAAATAGCATGACAGTGGCACACTTTCAGGAGATCAGTTATCTTCAAGCTGAGCTATCAGTTGCCTTGGTTGAATTACACAAAACTGATAGAATCTCTACAGTCAACAGTACTTCCAAATTTTTATTTGCACCTCTCCTTCTGTCTCTGATATCCTAATCTTTTACAACAAGTTTAAATACCTTCTCTTGGCATTAAAATAGAGAGGGATGTTATTTTAGCATCACTAGTTTCAGATTTAAGATTACTGAATGGTGTCAGTGTTTCCAGATTTCTGCAATGTTCCATAAATTTGGGCAGTATTGCAGTATCAGAATTATTTCATTCTTCTTTTATGCTGTCAACATGCTCTCTCATAGACATTTACTTTGGGATGGAAATCTATGCACAGTGCTAGAAGTACAGTGGGTATATATATTGCAGAATCTTCATAGCAATACTTTGCTAAGTGGATATTCTGAAGGTTCATGCTGAGTTGACTTTTTTTGTCAGTGGAACTGATAAAATACTTTGTCTCCCTACCCAGCCACATATTTTGACAAAACGGGGGGGGAGGCGGTATTTTCATCTTTTCTCCCTCTACAAAATTTTGGCTGTGGAAGTTATTGAAGAAGTAAGAGGGAATGACAGTTTTTTTTCTGACAGAGATACAGACATAGAACATAAGTTAATAAGACATTTCCTTAGGAAAATTCCAGCCCCTTTATCTCTCACTGAGTGAGTCACTTTTGCCCAAGAATGTTTGTGTTTTCTCTGTAAGCATTTAGGCTCTGTTATCCTCGTATCTCTCCTGTAAAGATTTACTGTCACAGTGGAAATTCATGGAGGAAATAGGCACCCTAGAAGTGAGGGGTTTTCAGTGGAGACTGTGTGACTTCAGAGAAATGGTTTGCAGCATGTTGGTTGAGCATAGAAACACACAGTTACCAATTCCTCTGCTGAGTCACGATAATAATGCATGCTAGAGCCCTGCATAGAGAAGGCAGCAACAGAGGCATTCCAGTGAGATTGTTGAGGGTTTATTTTAAGTAAACTTAATAGATAGATCCTAGGTCCAACCAAAGTTCAGGTGGGTTTGACATGTTTCACTCTGGCACTTACAGGAAATAAAAAAAAAAAAACACAGTCTAGTTGAATCAAAGGAGCAATTGTATATTGGCAGTTATATTAGAATTATTGAAATTCATGTGTTCCATTTTTTCTCACCACACCTGCAATGAATTCTAGTTACCCCCAGTGTTTCTGACACAGTTTCAATCTAGCCAAAGAAGGTAATAGTATGCCTGGCATCCCTGCAGCTTGGATTATCATCTTATGGCAGCATAGCTGACATAACTAAATTAATTTGACTTAAGAAATCAGAGAAGTCTTGAACTGTTGTCTAGTAGATGACAAACCAGTGCCTTATCAGCTGAGCTACTCAGATCCAGTCTGCAGTGCCCTTAAGTGTGATTTCATCTAAGTAATGTGTTGCTGAGTCTAATGTCAAATGGTTCTATCACATTACAACCTTTTCTAATTGAAGGAAAAAAAGATTAAATGTATGTGACCAGTTATTTAAAAGGCTGTCGTAGATTAATAGCCAGCAGTTTTCTAACAATTTCAAAATGATTGTATCATTATTCCTTTGAGTAGAAACAAATATCTTTTATTAAGTTTTTGCAAACTATATGAAGATAGAGCAGACTCTACTACATTGTTCTTGCAAAAATAAACTGCAAGTCTGTCCATTAATTTCATTGGTTTTATTGGAGAATTAATGTTCAAATTGCACCACTTTAATCCCCTATGAAATCTTAGAATTTCCCAATGGCTGGCCACAAGCCAAATGATACAGAATTTAGACTATTAAAGGTTTTGAATGTGGGTGAGTAACCCATAGCAAGAATATTTCAGTATTTCTTAGAAACATGCTCTATTTTTCTTCAAGTATATTTGTACAAGAAAAAACAAGACTCATCTGAAAAATTTCACAGGAAGCCATATCCTTTGATTTTTTTCCTCTTTGAATTTGCAATGGCCTGTATCACCTGGTGGTGCCAACAACTGTGTTTTTAAGAAAAAGTGCCATGCAAATGCAGTGCATCTCCGGAACTGCTGAATTTTGGTCACCTAAACAGAGTCAGTGCCCAGATACTCTGGGTCAGACTGTCATTTAGCATCGGAATTAAAGATTTCCATGACCTAAAAGTGCTTGTTTAAACTATATGTAACCTACTCTTTGAGGATTGTTGCCTCTATCCAATATCAAATCCCTAATTCTCTTTTTGGCCTAAATCCTTTTCCCAAGACAACCTATGCACTGGGAATCATACTTCCCACTAAAACTTATTTGGTTTATGCTTCCCTGACAATGTAAATATTCCCAAATCACTTGAGCATCAGATATGAGAAGGTAATACTTCAAGCAATCTGGAGATGTTAGTTATGGATCTGAGTCCCATAACAGTCTCAGATGGGTCTTAGTGCCATAGCACTTCAAAGTATAATAAATATATCAAGCATTAAGGCATCTATGCAAAGAAAAAACCTACCATATTCTAATTTTAAAAGGAAAAATTGAAGAATATTAGCAGAAGTTCCCTTATTCAAAACCAAAATTGGGGCACAGATTAACAACAGACTTAAGAAATGGAATTACCAAAAAAAAAATTATTTCTTCATTCCATTCATTCCATCATGAAGAAAATGATGATATTTTTTCAGGCTAGTCCATATGCTTTCAAAAAACAGCAGGCAAGTCAGTATGTTTTCCAAATTACTACATACAGAGGTAATCTCTGTGGATTTCAAAAGCCAAAGTAGAAATAGTGGAATTTATCCCATCTCAGATGGACATTGTAAATTATTTTTCACTGTACCTGTTGAAAACTGTCTTTTCTTAACATAACAAGATATCCCAAGCCTTATTTTTTTTAATAAAAGAGAAATTCAGACCTAAAAAAGGCTGATTGTTTATTTACATGTACAAACCAGAAATATATTCCCATGCTACACAGATATTTCATTAGTTGGTTTCTGCAAATGTGTGATTAATTTCATTTCTTAGCATATTTTAATTTTTTTTAATTCTTCTCAATATTTGCATTTCCTCACACAGAAGGGGTATTTTTATGTTTTGCTGAACTGATTACATCTCCCTTTGGAGCATAGCACATCTTTAATTACTACCAGATCTTCAAATATTTTCGGAAGATTCCCGTTAGAAAGATCATCAGCCATTTGTATCCTCATTCTCCAAAGGCAACTTTGAGCAGAGGCTCTAACCCAGCAGTAACATTGACACATTAACTTTCCTCAGCCACCTCACTCAGACTACTTAGCCTGGCTCCACCAGGGCTGGGAGCCTTAATCAGATATCATACCAAGGAAAGCTATGTCAGTAATGATGTCAGATGAATGGTGGTCACATGGCAACAGCCTCATTTGAAGCAAACAGTGCCACACTTGTTTTTAGGCTACTTTATGACTCGGCTGAAAAATGACTTTGTTCACAACAAAACACCGCTAATGTATGAGCTGTTACCATCGGATTTTAGCACGTCTACTGTTTTCTCAACATTCTTTTAATATACCTAACTGAACAAACAGTGTAAATATCATTAAACTACACATATTATCAAAGTCATCAATCAGCATGTGAGCTAACCAGATGAAACATTGGCAATCCCTTCTGGCATTTTGAATCCTCAAATAAATGGTATTATGGAAAGCACATAAAGGAGAAAATACTTTAATTCTGCACTTCAATTTGGTGTATACTAGATTCACACATAGAGGAGAAAAGGGAGACGCAGCCAGCTCTCCTGCTAGGTCCCAGAAGTGTGTTTTTCCCTTCTCTGCTCTGGATGTCAGTGGGCTGGTGGGATATGCAGAGGGCAGAATAATGAGACTGAGCAGGAGGGAAGTATTTGCCCTCTGGCTCCACTCACACTGCAACAAAACAGAAGCCCCAAAGTCTCCTGTCACTTAAACTCCCTTTCCCTCCCTGGCTTCTGAGGTGAAAATGACCCTTGCTATTTCTCATATGCATTTCAGTTAGTGCTCTTACTCCCAACATGGGATTACAGGCAAGCACAGCGTTTTCATTGGGAAGAACTGGAAAGCCCACTGATTTCTCAGGAATTCTGACGTTCTTGGAAGCAGGCCACACCAACACAGCAGCACAGCTTGGTTAAAAATTAAAGTTTAAATGAGTGGTCATAGAGACTTTTTTAGACAAGATAAATCTCAAAGACAGCTACCAGAAATTATTGCAATTAAAATTGCAAGTAGCCACATCCTAGGGCAGGCAGCTACATTTTCCTGACAGTGTTACTCAGCCCAAGGCCCCACTGCCTCTGTGGAGAGCAGGGAGAGCTGCAGTGCCTCTCATGGGCATCCTGGCTTAAACTCCCCCTGAAGCCGTGTACTGGCCTGCAGTGAGAGCCTGAAACCCACATGGGCTCACAGATCTCTCTGTTTGGTCTGCAGTGCTTATTCCATTTACACTACTGATCAGGAAGGAAAATTTTGGTGTTTAACCAGCTGGGGAGCAGGAATAACAGCAAAGACAACAAAAAGAAGCTAACAAACCCCTGAATTTAGGGTAATGAGTGGTCAGAAAAAATTGATAAAATATTTCAGTAAAACCCTATAATGGATAACTGTGTGGAAATCAAGAATTCTCAAACAGAAAGCAAGAAAAAATATTCAGGTATTTTCAGGGAGTAACTAAGTTATTCCTACCTTCTATTATGAGAACAGGAACTACAAATGCATGCTATAGCATATTCTACCATAAGGGACAATTAGAATTTTAACTAGTGACCCTAGAGCATTGCTGGCATAGACTTTGGATTCTGAAATTCTGAAAAATCTGTCTTTTAAACCCTGAAGTTCCAACAATCTATAATAGGTTCTGGGCACAAACTGCATATCATTCAGACAGCTAAGCCTTTAGCACTGCTACTATTTTCTGTTGCCTTCTGGCACCACTTAGTAAGTTCCAAATGAATGAATTCTCTATCCACTGATATATAGTGGGGGGAGAAAAATGCAGACTCTCTGCACTGAAAAATAACATGCATGCTTCTGTTACCTTCCCCTCTCAGCTCCTCTGAAACATAAATAGCCCTCAGAAAGATACACTGATTTCACATTGATAATCAAAAAAGAAGGAACCAAAACAATTGTTACATTTCTATGGGGCATTTTATTTTCAATCATTTTTTTAATTTTTACAGAACATGCAAAAATATTTGAAGCCAGAAAGGATCAGTCTTTCCCACTAGGCCTGCACAGATCCTGCTCCAACTAGACATGTTGGACCTCCTGGGCTGCAGGAAGTCCCAAGAGGCAAATAAGATTGACTGAGGAAAGTACTGTAGATATCAGTAAAGAAAATACATGAACTAGAAAAGCAATAGCAATTTATACCTCACTTAGAAGAGTTTAAAGAAAGCATAAGATGAGATGGAGCAAGTGTCATCCAAAAACTGCCCAGAAGAGGTGAGGTCTCACCAACATAGTCAAAGCACTATTGTAAATCCTTATGAGCTTTGAAAGGCTGTGATCCAGTTCTGAGAGAAGGAAGATCACTTACAGCTCCATAAGATTTGTTTGGTGAGTATTCTCATGGAGAACTACAAGGAAGAGAGCTGCAGTGCCTTTTTCTTTTTTTTTTTTTTTGGCCTTTTTTTTAAAGCTAAACCATCAGCATCTTCTCTTAAATACTTCTGTCATCCGGTTTTGATGGTATGTTTGTTCCTGTCCTGCAAAGTTAGTAGAAGTAGCTGCCTTGGAATAAAGCAAATCAAAAACCACCAAAAAACTTTAAAAAAGGGCAGGAATAAGCACACGAGCAGCAAGGATAACCACACCAGGGCATACCAGAGGTTTACACTAGCGCAGGATACTGTCTTTGACAGCAGACAGTGGCAGATGCCGAGGAAAGGAGATAAGAACAAACGCACATGATGATGTCCCCCCAGAATGATTTTCCACCTTCCATTAAAATGATTTGTACATATGGTGGATACAGGATGGCAAAACTTCGCTGAACTGATGCAGATGGCAGAGGATAAAGGGTACCACAAGTCCATCTTGCATTCATTGCTCCAGACACACTTTGTACATCCTACTTGAACTTGCACAAGTTGCACAGCTAGTGAAGGCTGCAGGAATTATATGATGTCTACACAAAGACTTTGCTTCCTTTTTAAATCTGAGAACCATGTAACAGGTATGAGATTAGGTTTATGCTTACACAATGAATATAGTTCCATTAAAAATACACAGAATATTGCTGATTAACCACTATTAAATGTACTTTTTATGGGATCACTGGCTGTTCTCCTTGACCAGTACACCATATAAAAATTGTCTTTTAATGGAAGAATACTGTACAGAGACCAAAATAGAAACTGCTAAAACAAACAAGATAATTATCTAAATTTTATAATATCACTCATAAAACGTCTGCCTTTTCCCTTTATGAGCTTGATAGATTAAATTTAGGGCAGATGTTTCATATAATTTACTCAGAAAACAGGAAAATTATTTAAAAAAAAGCTCATAAAACCTACAAAAACACAAATGAAACTAATCTAAAACATATGCAGTCTACAGATTTAAAGGAAAAGTTAGTTATTCCTGAAGCTATGGATAAGGATGCTTAAGAGATAAAACCATCTCTCCCACACATTTTATAGTATTAGATATTCTGAACTGCTTTGGACAAACAAAGGCCCCTCTAAATTTAGGGTGCATGAGGTAGCTCTGGCTACTTTCCCAAAGAAAAAGAGGAACTCACAGAAACACAAACCCTGTTCCTCGGTGCACAGAAGCCAATCTGTGGTATCTTAATTGAATTATAGAAGTACCTGCTGTAACATGAATGCTGTGGAAGAATACCAGGTAAAAGTATTACATATTATCTGTTTATGCACTAAAAAAAGAGGAAAAGGAGCAAGTGCCATGTCTTTAATCCTCCAAAGAAAAAGAACCTCTTCACTGTCAAAAGATACTGAGATCAAATACTGCTTTACATGGAAGGTATTTATCATCAGACAAAGACATATAGAGGCAAGTTTCATGAACATTTTGAAAGATTTTGTTTTGAAGGCTCAAAAGTCTCCACACCACGAAACTCAATTTTCAAAATAGGTCAGCTACAGAGACCCCAGGGAAAAAATCAAATAGAAAAAATACCTTTTACAAGAATATCAGAATGTATAAGAATATGGAATCCATCATATTATTATTCACTTATATGTTAGTAAAAAGCACTGTACTAAAGAATCTCTGTAAGACACACCCCCTGGGAACAAAGTTTAGGCATAAAATAAACACAGGTACTAGCTGACAGTAGTCATGGAGTTCAGGATCACAAGAAAAGCAATAAATATTCTAAGCCAAACTACATGTTTTAAAAATATCCAAAACAATAGGTAAAGTATTAATTTCTCAGTCCCTGAAGTTCAGAGAGACGGGGTACTGTGGTGGTTCTGCCTAAATCCTGCCCTGCATTGAAAGCAGATCAGCTAGAGAGCAAATCCTGCTGCTGTTGGGTTTGATCACTTTCTGTGCAGAAGCAAAGCTTTTTCTTTCCAAGACTTTACCCCATTGCACTTTGTTCCTGCTGGCAACACATCACAGCCTGTTTTTGTGAGCTTGATAAAGAGGATTTGGCATTGAAGATACATGCTGTGTGTGAGATACCAAATGAAAGTAGCAAAGGAATGGATGAAAGCTACCAAGTGTTGCTCAGCCACCCTGTGTATCATCTGAGGAAGACAAGCCAGCTGCAAACAGCAGAGCAAACAAGCCTGCCTCAGACTCTTGGGGCAGCAGCAATTAACTCAATGAACTGAAATGTGCTGTGATTGCCTCTTACGGAGCAGAGCTCCTTCGAAGGCAAACAATTGCCCTCCTAATATTGAATCAAATATTTTCCAATGTGTGGCCTTAATAAAAGCTGTGGGACTATTTCTCTTTCAGAACACACCAGGTTACAGCAATACATGAACAAAAGTGCAAATTGTTTATGATGGGTAGTATCAAAGCAGTGCAGGACAAACTAGCTCAAATACCTGATCTGAGGTAGGAAAAACAGCAAGTTTGCACTGATGTGGCATAAACACGTGATCTTGAACAGATATGGCCAAGGCTCCAGAAAAAGCTGCAAAAATAGTTAAGTCAGTTCACATGTCAGTTCTTCCACAGACCATAAATAAGCTTCAAAGAGTTATAAAACCAGGCAGTAGACACCAAATGCATGCAATCTTGGAGTAGTGCTAGTAAAAGTACATCACCACCTCTCTGCTGCATAGAAAAATTAGGTAAATACTTCATTCATACATGTATATACACATTGCATACACACATTCACTTCAGGGCATTTCTATAGTTTATTAGGTACTGGCACTAAATAAAGTTTTGTAAACATTTTCATTTCATAATTGTTAGTGGTAAGGAGAATATTTGTGGTGCATGGTCACTAAGCAAACAGAGTGAAAATACTTTTACAGGGAATATAAACAGTTTTATGGAGTATCAGAGAGCAGGAGGAAGCTGCAAATATAGAGCACCAGCAGCTGTTCTGGGGCAAGGCAGCTGCTCTGGATCCATCTAGTAGCAAAGTCTCTTTGGGCAAACAAGTGGGTGGAGAACTGTGTAATGGAATATAGAGACTTTTAAAGTGGCATAACTCATAAAAGGATGAGAGGACTTCTTTCTCTCTTTTTCATATTATTTTTAATAAGAATTGGGAAAGTGGCCCAAAACTGTTCCTGGATAATCAGTTGAATAAAATACTGGATTTATTACAGTGTTATTGACACCCTTTTTCAATCTATTTTCCATGAATATTCAGTTTAATTGTAGGAAAGCTTGAAATAACAGACACCGGAGCTGGTGCAAGAACATCTACATTTCCACATTATATATTTTTATATGATCCAAATCCTTAGAGATTTATTTTTTCTGCCACAAATAAATAATAAAAACACTGGAAAACTATGCATGCAGGCAAATTTATTATGAGCACTGAAGATATGTTTGCAGAAAGCTTTCAGCAAATACCTGGGAAAGCAAATATACCGTAGATTAGCCATGTTGGCTTGTGGGAAATTTATCAATTAAAGAAATAGATTATATTTACAAAATTTCTTACCCAGCTCCAGTCTAACAAATATACTAGATTGTTATCTGCAGCGAGGGCTGCTCATTCAGCAAGAAGTTGTTTCTTCTCTTGAGGTTGCTAGAGCGACAATTGGTTGCCAACAGTATATTTTGGTTGTAACTAATGACTACAGGTTTCTTTCATCCTCAGAAATGTTTTCTGGGTGCAAGCCCCAATCCCACTGTGTGTGTTGCCATGAGCTGGTATTTCACCCTGCGTGCAGGGCACTGTCTGTGTGCCTCTGTTCAGAGGGCAGGACTTCAGTTGCTGGAAGCTCTGCAGCCTCTCCTCACCCATGGGTTTCCATAACTGCTTCTGTTTTGCCTAGTAGTAGATCTCTTTCCGTGACAACCAGAAGTAAATAGGTTATATGTTCTCCAGACAGCTGCTGTAGCATGTTGTGGAATACAAAACCAGCAGCATCAAAGCTGCCCTGCAAGTAACATAACTACATTAACTGGAAGAAAAATTGATTTTTGTCTTCAGCTAGCAGAAGGGAGTGGACACAGCAATGACATTTTCTGGTTCCTGCAACACGCCCGCACAGTTCAGCTGGTCCTTTTCACTTGGGTGAAAGAGGTGCTGCACTTTCAGGCTAGTCTGTCCTGAGCACGGTTGATGCAGAGGATCTCTCATAATGACTGTGAGAGAAAAACACGCCTTTGATCCATCCTCATTGCCAGATCTCTGTAAGCTGAAGATTTTATCCAGCTGGGAGTCTACCTTATTTTTGACAAGACAGAGGCTGGTGGTTCTAATTCATGGCAGCAGCCCCTTTTACAACAAAATATCTTCGTTTTTTTCTAGTATTTACATTGTTGGTACGGTTTTGGTACAGTGCATTTGTATTTGTGATAAATTATCTCAATGCATGAGATGGCCCTTGGGGGATTCCTCAGAGACAGCTTTGCAAAGAACCCAAGGTTCATAACTGTCATCAACAAAAAACAGAAATAGCCCCTTCCATCATTTGTCCCTTCCATCTGAATCTTGTGTAACAAATGGCCACCACACTCCATAGCTGATATCCCCAGTTATCAGCCAGATTTCTGCCAAACTTTTATTGTTATCCTTGGCCCATTAGCCTAGAGATATTAAGTTCAAATATTTCAGTACAGTTCCTGCTGTATTCGAGTTGGAGAACAGTGATTCATTCTGCCATTCCTCTCAGGAAGAACAGATCAGCTACGGGCATCATTTACAAAACCTAATGAACTGCAGGCCTGGCTTCTTAGACTAAAGCATTAATTACTTCTTTTTAATCCCCTGTTTCTCAGTAATCAACAGCTTTCTTGACAATAGGTGTGGAGTAGCACCTTGCACAGACTTTTGGAGAACACTAATGCTGTACTGAATCTGCACCATAAAAGCATCCTTGTGCTATAGTTTCATAGATGTCTTTTACTCTTGTTTAAAAGAGCATAACTATCAACAATGCTTTGTTCAGTATGTGTGTATATAATAATGTATATGAGTCCATCATTATGGTGTTCACTGTGGAAATAATCCAGTCATACAAAAGACACATTGCTCAAAATAAAACCTAAGATAAATAAAGGAAGCTATAAAATGCTCTGTTGGGCCCACTTCTGGACCTATTTAAAGGCAATGGCAAAGATCCCACTGACCTCAAGCAGGAACTAGCTCCTTTTTCTCTTTCTGGATTTGTTTAGAAAGAAATATAATGACAGACTTGAAAGGTAAGGTGAAATATTTGGGGAGAGGGAGAGAAAGAAGAAAAAAAGGAAAAGAAATCTAAAGGGGACAAAGGAAAATAAAAATCTGTATTTTTGTCATTCTGCATAGGATGTAACAAGAATTGCTTAGGGTGGATTTTTTTTTCAGATTTTCCATGTTCTGGTTTTGTCAGAATATTTTAATATTTTATTGCTTGCATTTTTTTTCCCAGCTCTTTCCACCCTCTTCTCTGTGGGCACTTCTACTGGCCCCAAAAAGCATGTGGTGCTTCACAAAACTAAAAATGTGTTTGCCATTAAATATAATGTGTAAAATCTTACAATGCTTTCAGAAAAATAACGCTCACATATCCAAAATGAGGGGAAAATGGTACCTAATCATACATATAATTCACAACATTTATTTCACCGGTAATGAGTGTTGTCAGGTTTTTCCTACGTTGAACAGCCATACCTGAGGGGCACAGCGTTAAAGGGCACATTCACCGCTGACATAAATGGTAACCACGGCCACTTCAGTGAAGTTATCTCCAATTAAGCCAGCCATTACATTCACTTCAAGGTATGCAATACATTTTAAATGATAGAAGCAAGTCCAGGAAATGCTGAGTACTTCTACGAACCCTCCTTCATGTGTGACTCCCGCTGGACCCAGGCTCCTTTCCCAAACCCAGCGGTTCTGTGGTAAGTGCGATGGTCAGCGCTGTGTCCTGTTTACCGTCGCAATTAACAAAGCGGCATTCAGCGAGAGACACCAAAGAGCCTGCTGCACTTAAAGGGCTAAGGAGAGGTGATAACAGCCCTCGCTTCGTTAAGGCTCGCTGCCCAACTTTACTGAAAATGTAGTGACAGATAAAACATAAATCAACATCCTTATCGTTCTGGCTTCCTTGCCTGCCAAATGGGGGTTTAGTTTATCAGCGACCTGCAGGCCCACTGGCGGCCTTTACACTTACAGCTGGTCAGCGGGGTGGGACAGGGTGGAAGCTAAATGGCTGCTCTAAAACGCCTTGGTGTAAACAACCCGGGGAAGGACTTCCTTGAACTGCCAGTTACCTGAGTGCGATCCATCTTACTAAAGCGTCTGCCCCAAGAGGGGTGTTATCGCCAGGAAAGAAAACAAATAAAAGACACCCAGCATGTTGCAGCGCAGGCACGGGCTGGGGAATGCTGTCCCCTGGAGGGGGTGAGGGATCCTCAGCAAGGTAAGCTCCTTATGGCACTGCTCAAGAAGCAGGCAAGTATTTTGGAAGAAAAGAGACTTCATCAGCACAGCCTGCTTCCTCCTTTTTGTGACCAGAACGTACAGCCTTTACATATATATGCATACATAGTGCAGTGTTGGCTTTGACTCCCTGTGAGCCTCATCCAGGGAGCAATCCTTTCAAAGGCACCAGTATCCCCCAAGGCTCAGGAGAGGACAGTATTGAGGGCATAGTCATCCCCCTCCCCTTGCAAGCCAGGAGACTTCTTTCCTTATGTTATACATAGGTTGCTTCATGTGTTAGGATTCTAAAAGTATTTGTCACAATTCATTGTGTCACAGTTATATTTGCATTAAGTTCAGCTCATAAAACAAAACCCATTTAAACTGGGCCTTGCTCATGTAGAGGCTATGAGTTTGGACAAGAAAGCCCTCAGTTTTTGCTGGTTAAGGGACTACATTGACATAATCACCCTCATGCAAACAGTTGGTGAAGATGAAATTAGCATTTAGATCAGTGATTTATTTCTCCCTTGAGATCTACTGCAGCAAATAATTTCTTAGGAGTTTAAAGTGAGGCAACTGCAATGGTGGGTTTGTGTCACTATTGGAAGTGTGACAGGTTTGACAGGTAGGTTTGACAGACACTAGCACAAGACATGGGGGTTTTTTGTAACTAAAATTGAATTTACTTTAAAAGTGTTCATTTTCCCCTGTCCTTTAGCTATAGTTAGTCAAGCTACAGCATTTCATGTAGAAAGCAAAGTACTTCATATTTCCTTGGATTTTGAAAGCCCTATCTTTTGGCAGCAACTCTGTGGAAAATAATGTGCTGAACAAAAGCAAATCACAGGTGGAAAGCAAAAACAGAGTGTTACACCTATACCATTGTGCAAAAAAATTCAAATGTACACACTGAACAATGTTACATACATTGGAGCCAAACCTTTTGGCAAATAAAATGTGTGTTTTATAATGAAAGCTTTGCTTACTGATTCTTTTTTCACAGAGAAACATTTTCCAATTGTGTTTCAAATACCTGGGATATAAAGAAAGATATTCTTTGTGTACTTGTTTGTTTAGCAGTGTACTTTGACAAGGTTACCAAAGCAACAGTGACATACTTGCATCTATATTTAGGCAAAAGTCTTCTCAAAAATCTCACACTGCTCATGATCAGAGTGTACATACAAGAATTAGTTTGTCCCCAAGAAGTCTGTCAGAAGAGCATGTTTCAATCTAGAGGTACAAGGAGCTGAACAAGTTTTTTGAAGCAACAGATAGCAAGAGAGCAGTCTCTGGAAAGGACAGAGTTGAGACCAAAGCCCTTTCACTCTCTGTGCACTCCAGGTAGAGAGGCAACGGAGCAAAAGTAGTGGCCTGCACATCCAGACAAATAGAAGGCATATTTGGAAATGCAGCAAGTTTATAGGAGTTGCAAAGTTGAGAGAGGGCAGGAAGGAGGGTGAGAAGGGAACTGAAGGCAGAAACCAATGTTAAAGTCAAAGAAAAAGAGAAGGGCCAAAGCCAGAGTGTATGAAAGGATGAATGCAAGACACAAGTGTAGGTGGAGTGCCGTTATAGGGATGTCAATGAAAGAAAAGGAAACAACAGAACCAGAACAGAAAGTTGGAAATGTTGGTGAATGTTTTACTTTAGTGAAAAGTTTCCATGAGCTGTATTATACTTACAAAAATGACTGGCTTTCCTCTAGCTGCTGAAAATAGCCTTAAAAAGGCAAATCACCTACTACTACAGCTACCAATTGCTATGTGGCCAACTGTTAGTTTGTTCCAACACAGCACAAGCTAGGTTTGGAAAAAAAAATCTGCCTGTGATATCAAAAGTCTAATGTAGGACCCTGTTGTGTTCCAGGAGTTATGGATCACACATTTAGGAAGAGGCTGTGCTACTAGCCAGAAAATTTTCTTCCTAATGGAAGCCCAGCTAACCACAGGATCTGCTGCAGACCACAGACCAGCCAAGCTATACTAAAGACGGCCCACTAGGTTGGAATGCAGACCACAGTTTGGAAACCACTGGCTTATGAAATAAACGAGACAATATTTCAACCTATATTGTCAAACATGCCTTTCTTGAAGAACTAGCAGGGCTGTGTAAGAAATGGGGTCATGTCTATAGGATTGTCCCAGAAGCTCTGTGGAAATACAGTGATTCTGTTCTTCCAGAAATCAGCACAAATGTAGACAACTGATAGAGAAGGGTAATTTTTCATCTCCAAACCTGTAAAGGTAATTCAGATGTTACCATCAGAACTCTGGAATTTTGCATCATCAAAACCTTCATTAAAAACTAAAATGTGCGTCAATGCATGATAACCAGCACTGCAAACAATGATTTCACTTCACACGGAAAAATGTCTCTCCAGATGTGCCAGAGCCAGGACCAGTACCAAGTTAATATTTGCCATGCATCTAAGTATGAGAAATTAGTGACAAATATTTCAGTATCATGAGTTTGAGCATTCATATGTGAACTCTTTGACATTAAAGGTAAGGAAAGAAAAGATTATTATAGAAAATGGAGACATTTCCTGACAAAGCCAGAATTACACAATTTTGAAAGATAATATTTAACCTTTGGAAAGGCCAAAATTCTTTGGACTGACGCAGAAGTTATAAAGACAGATCTTGCCAAATGTAGAGTAATTTTTGAAGAATTACTCTTTTTCACAATGCTAATACAAAAATTCTTGGACATAAAACTGAGAACTCTGGAACAGGAAGGGGAAATGATAGATGCTTTGAAAAACAAGTCTATTTAGAAGCCATTTGTCTGAATTTTGTAACGTCCGCTGACAATAACATATTTTCATCCTTGACTGTATTTTACAAGTTCATTTCTTCATGGACAGAAACCAGTATATTTAGCCTCTGAAAATATGTGTTTTAAAAGTGGATAGTGATCGCTTGCTTCTAAATTCTATAAAAGAAAGGAAAAGAAAAAGGGCGCTGAGAAATAATGTAAGCATATACACATAACAGCCACAAGTATAAACCTGTTTGTACACTTACATTGAAGTTGATTAACACAATTCTGAAGAGGTGGAATTAACAATGGAGTTTCTCCTTTTCTGCAATATACAACTTTTTCAGAATAAGGAATTCCATATATATATTTGCTTCTGCTGATGGCAAACATGCTTCCTCTGAAACAGCTTCCAATGTAGAGTTTCTGTTTATAGAAACACGGAACACAAATAATCCTCTTATTTAACTGAATGACTTCTTTTTGTTTTCATTGCTGTTGAGTGATTAAACCACGACAAAAGCTAAAGCACTATACAGTAGTAATGTGAAATCAAATTCTTCATTCAAGCTCCAGAAACTTGAGACTTTCTAGAGTACTCGCATTCAGGACATATTAAGGAAAATTCCACACAAATGAAGAATGTCATAATAGCAAAGGAAAAAAGAGAGAAACACGGAGAGAGGAAACAGCAAATACTGAGAACACAACATCTGTAAAATGCACCAACAATTCCAAGCTTGCAATGGGCTGTCACTGTACACGCTATGAGGAAATTTCATTTAAAAGTTACAAAAATGACCTTGCTTTGAACCAAGTGAATGTGATTATTTCTGAACTGAACAGAAAGTAAAGAAGTTTGGATTAAATGTTTTACCAGTGCCAATGTCCCAGAACTTTCTTTGGCTCTATATTCTCTTTTCCTACGTTTGTCAGCTGAATTTAATGTTCTCTTCTTTTTTGTCTCCTGGTCTCTCTGACCTTAATGTGACATTTTAGTTGGGTGATTAATTACTATTAAATGGCACTGCATTTATTAAATGGAGTCCTTGTCTATGTAAGAGCACAGTCACAATGCAACGATTCAGTTTGATAAGCTTAAATATACACAGTTAGATGTGGTAATATCTAATTTGTCAAGGATCTTGTGGCTAGCTTTTCTGCCACACAGCTAGAGAGGAGATGTGATTGCACAAAAAGCTTAATATTCTGAGCTTAAATGTTCTCAGTAAATTGATCTTCTCCATCATGTAATCTTATTTCAGAGTGTGCAGGAGACAGCAAAGTTCCACACAAGACTAAGTTGCCTTAATAACAGGCCTGAGGGTTCCTGACCATGGAAATAAAAGCTATGTGACAAGATTTGTATGTCTCTTTTCAGCAGACAACAGCTGACTCGCCCTGCTAGAAGCTTTCTTTCTGGGCTAATTGAATAAAAAGAAGAACTAATGTCAGTAAAAGGATGAAAAGTTCATTGAGAAAGAAAAGATACATCTATAGGTTGGACACCAGCACCTAACCTTGTAATCAGCCAGGTTATTGTTCTGTCACTTACATTCTCTGAACACTGCTTTACTCTTTTCTTGTCTAACAGCTGACAAGGAACTTTTTTTTCAGACTATAATGAATCATCAAAGCAAAACTTCTTGCAAGCAAAAGGTTGGTTTTAACATCTGTTGGGAAAAAAAATTCAGGCTGGACAAAATAAAAATGTGAGGGAGACTTTCACAAAAAGGAGTTTTGGGTATTCATGGGAAAGACAGACAGCAGCTGGAGCTAGTTCCTGACTGTTTCTTATATCAGTTATTTTCCCCTCTGGTTAACACAACTAGGCCAGCAAGAAGAATATCAGTAGTTTTTCTCATGTTTCACTCTCAATTCTCATGTCTTCCACGTCCAAAACATTCATTCTTGCTCCTACATCTGCAGAGTCAGTGCCTGTCTTTATAACTCTCTCCTACTACACCAAAAACAACTAGAAATCAACATAAAAAGGTGAAGCAGATCAGGTTACTATAAGAAATAAGAGGCCTTCAGTCTTATCTCAAACCTACAGGTACTTTCTCACAGTGAAAATTGCAAATGTTATAAGAGAGGAGTCACTACTCTCATCTGAATTTAGGGGTTTACAGAGATCTTGTAAAGCTATTGTGGAGCTGTGGGTAATGTTTGGGCATGCATCTTCAGACCTTTAGATCTGAGATTAATACCTTCATATCAACCGCAGTGGGAACCCAGATGCAGACCTGCACCAGAGACACATTTGGATGTGGTCAGGGAACAGCTCCCACCTTTCTGCGGGAAAAGCGAATCACGAAACTGTTGTATGGAGTCACTCTCTTTGCATGATGAAGAGTCAAACTGAACTCCATGCACAAGAAGATACTTGAACTTGCATGTTCTGCGGGTTGGCAGACACTGTGCCATCTGGAGACACCAAAATAACCCTGCCTTCAGGCCAAACATCTGTAGTGAAGTGAATCTAAATGAACCAAGAAAGGCCATAATCTTGATTACCTTTAACAGGATTGTATTGCTGTCTTCAGTACTGATGACAGTCTAAAAGGGTTGCACAAGAAAAACATTCTTACAATTCTCATTAAGGATTAAGTCAGCACATTTCCAGTTGCTCCTGCATAGGTTTGTTCATCTCTATCTTCCATTATCGGGAACAGGAAGAGAGGCATATTCACTTTGTCCAGAATCGTATGGGCTCAGGATTACAGGCAGGAAGATGCTCCAGGTGTGTGCTTTAGCAGACTCAAAATATAAATCTCTTCAATATTCTGTGTGCTAGAGATATGTCGGGCACTTCTTCCTGAAAACTTTATAGAAATTATATCCAACTGCAAAAAATGACCTTTTAGTCTGGGCACAGAATCTACTTAAAAAGCACTCAATTCCTACCTTCCTTGCAGAAATATATTTTTATTGGTCTAATTTGCTGGTTTTAGGAAACAAAACAAAGGCATTTAGCAGTCTGTCCCCATGATCTTCAGAACAAATTTCTAGAAAACATAGAGCAGCTTTGCAAATATAATTATTTAGTCTCAAAAATAGCATAACTATTTTCAAGTGGCAGATTGCTCTACTTCTAGAGCCAATTTAATCTTACTTTATATGATTAATAAAAACTGGTTAATAGCAGCACAATACATTTCATGTTCATCTAAAGGAAATGTTTTACTTTATCGATCCAAAGCAAAATTTTGCTTCAAGGAAGTATCAGAAATATTCTTCAAGATTTTGCAAGTCACTAAATTAATTTTGAAACAATGCCTAAACTTTAATTTTGGCAGATGCTTAAATATTATATTATCTCCACTAGAGCATTTATGGGATTTCAGACTATTGATAAAACATACATAGAGAATTTACCATCTGTAAAAGAAGTGGTAAATGAAGGTTTACCTTACTCACTCAAAACATAAGAACAAGTTTCTGCTGTTCAAATCACAAGACATATTACTTAGTAGAGATTGAACTAAAAGCACAATCTAACATACACTTCTTGCTATACGAAAAGAGCAAACCCCCACAGATTCATTGTATAAGCTGCTGATCAGCATGCTAATTTTCAAGTTAGGGTTTAATTATCTCCTCTGTGCAGGCAAACAATCAGGAACTGTGAAGAGTCTGTAAAATGGAGGAGTATAATATTATATGACAACACACCAGTAATAGTTTCAAATTACAAGCAAATCTGAGCAGGGGAAAAAAGTCTTCTCCCCTTTCTCCCAAACATATGCACAATTTCCTTTAGAAGAAAAAAACAAGAGAAATAAATGCATTTCTTGCTCTTTCTCAGAGGTATATCAAATGCTGATTGAGTCTAAATCATCTGAATTGTAATGTGACCATCAGAGCAAAATGTGGCCTTACAATGCTTTCCTGTAACTCAAAGGGCAGGACAAAAGTGACTGTGTTGAAAGAATTATAGCCAAGGACATAACTGTAATGAAGTATTATCACAGACATATCATATTATCAAAATATCAAACTCTACACATGTCAACAGTCACCCAACATGATTAGAGGCAGATCTGGTTTTCAGTTTAGGTGAAAGTAGGCAGTTGTTTACGTTGGCAGATCACGGGGGAAAGGGAGGAAATGAAATGCCCCATACAGGGTGCCATGGCCTCATGGCCTGTTTTGAGGACCCCGAGAGAAAGACAGGCAGGGACAGGAGCTGCGTGCCCCACCACCAGTAGATCAGCTCAGAGAGGGAGCAGAAGGTTAATGCCTCCCTGCCCACCAGTTCCTAGTAAATCTGCTCCCTCCCAATAAATCCCTGCTTTATTTC